TGGAAGGATGTTAGAGGTAGAGAAGAGCAGGATGATAACAGAAGGGATTAGACTGAAAAAGTGAGAGGGTTCTCTGGATACCCACACACGCTGTGTGGCCTTGTCGTGGGACGGCGGAGAGGAGAGACAGAAAAAGCGAACGAGGAGAACACGACTGCGATTCGCGTGAAAAGGGTGGCCAGAAGTAAAATCGAAACAGAAGAATGCAAGGACGAGAAAGGTGAGACCGATAAGTATCCTTCCCAGGCGCCTCAAGGATCAGACTCAACCCATAACCAGGTCAGGTAGATTATCAGCCACCTGGGAGTAAATAAATGATTTGTTCCGTTTGTTCAACCCATTCAGCACCAGCAGGCTTGGTGCGGCGCGACACTGACCTTGCAGGTCAGCGAGGAGTGGCGCAGAGAGTGCACGCGGCCAGTGAAGCTCCGACCGGCCGCTAGAGAGGTTCGCGACGCCGCGTGACGATCTGAGATCAACGCGAGAGAAGAAGAGGGATAACGAGAGGACACGCAAGGTCTCGCTGTTGATTTGTGCCGATCGAATTTGGAAAACGTGTGACGCGTATGGATAACGTTGCGGCGAATCGCAACCTGGGGTGTGCCGCGCGTATGGTTCAAGATGCGGCGAATTGCAATTTTGGGAAATGCCGTGGGTGACTGATTGCTACGAAACAAGGGCGACAAGTAACACCTTCTGTGACGAATCTCGTGCTCGTACCTGTGCGATCAGGCGCTTGGGCGCTCGAAATGGCAACCGAAGCGGCACGGGTGCTGATGGAGGATGAGGTGACGGCAGCCATGGCTGGTTGAATGCGCGTGGAGTGGAAATCAGAATCAGAATTCCGTTGAAATCTATCTGGACGATCAGAATTCCGAATCTCGTGCTTTCTGCAGGAATTTACGAAAGCGTGGGGGGAAGGCGCTGCAGGGGAATGGGGGGGTGGACAGGATTAGGGAGCGGGCGGGGTGGGAAGGGGGGGATTGAATCCTGGTAAGGGGAAAGGTAAAATTTGCGCTGTGTGTGCTCTACTGGGGAGCCGTCGATTTACATCGCGATGGCGAGGTGTCACAGGCTGGTCACTTTGGCTGCCAAAGAAGGAGAGGTTTATCATCCAATGGGGACGCCGCACGGCCCACGTGTTCCTCCTTCGAAAGAAACTCGGTTGCCGTTATTATGAAAGTACGATTCGCGTACAAGCTAAGGTACGAAGTGTTGAGCCATATAAACAGAGTACACAGAATTTAAAAGCAGAACTATGTCTGTACGATGATGTTACAGCACACTTATCGCGGGGATGATGATAAATGAAGCTGCTGGACCTGAAACGGAATATTTACTTTGGACACCATAAAAGACCGAGTACCCCACTGTTTTGACTGAGAAGGGGACGTGGATTGGGCTGGTGCTTACAATAGTTGATGTTATCTCATGTCACCTACAAGATACCATCCACCCACTTTCTCGGCTGCAGTACACATAATCAATGACCGTGTCTAGCAATTAACCTGCACATATTATAGAGCAATCGCCCAGCACATAACCACCTGCCCAATGCAATTCACCAGCTTCTCTTCCCTTCATTTGCCACTACCAGACGAACCACTGCCACTGCTGCCAACACTGGTGCCCTTGATGCCTCCCTGGACTTCACTGTCCACATCATCATCTCTATCCATGGATGCCTGCGCATGCGCCCCAAGCTTCACAATATCCTCCACTAGAATCTTCCCATCTGGCACAAATCAAGAAACCGCACAAACACCAGAGAGAATTTCAGCATATGAAAGCGCATGTTGTACTCCTCCTATGCCAACTCTCCCTCATGAGATCCCCTCTTGTGAACTAACCACCTCCTCTTATAAATCTCCTCGGAAAGAGCAGCCCCTCACTAACCACCAATGGACAAATTACCACCCTTTGGAATCTCATCCTTCCATCCCCACCCCTCCACCCCACCTTCTCCCCCGCCCCTCACGCCACGCACCTGCGTCCTTGGCGAGGTTGCTGATGAGCTCTTCCAGCCCCTCCTGCCCCAGGCTGTCCCTCAGTAGCGCTGCTGCAGCCCCCACCTCCTCCGGACTCACCTTGCCGTCATAGTCACTGCACACACAGTTACACATGGTTAAAATCACGAAGAGGAGGAGGAGGAGGAGGAGGAGGAGGAGGAGGAGGAGGAGGAGGAGGAGGAGGAGGAGGAGGAGGAGGAGGAGGAGGAGGAGGAGGAGGAGGAGAGCAGGGGAGAAGAGTTACATGGAAACGAGAAAACAAGAACCACAGTGATGAAACTCGTACGAAAAGCAAACAAAATTTGGAAGAAAACAGGAGGAGGAAGAGCAGAGTTGGCAAGAAGACGCACCAAAGCCTCACGGCCAACTGACATGCACACAACAGGCGCACACAGGTGCATGTTAAGCGCTGTGCGCTGTTACTGATCTGCCCCACACACGCATTCCAAAGCCTGTGCCCAGGTGCAGCTACGTGCAACGACCTGCCTTCCTGTGACTGCCACGGCCACCACTTCTGCTGCTGCTGCTGCAGCTGAGACAAGCGTGCTAGAATGAAGTTCTTTCTCATTGAGGTGTTATGAGGGGTGTTATGAGGCTGATGATGTGCTGGCAGTGCGTTCGTTGCTGTCAAGTTGCCACCATGCGATCCTTCTGCTTCAGATTGTGAATCTTGTGTTGGCAGCAGGCTCGTTTGCACCAACGATCCGCCAGGTGAACTGCCAATGCCAGTGATTACGTGCTGATGGCTAGTTAACGTGTGCTCCGTTTGAATGTGGAGTCGCGGCAAAGGGGGTGAAAGTGGGAGAGAGAGGTTGGGGGAAGGAACAGAGCACTCACGTGTCAAGTGTCTTGAGTCGCTTGCCTATCTTGGCGTCTGCACTGTCCAGTTCCTTCTCCAGCTTGTGAAGCATGGAGTCCACCTGGTAGGGGATGCGGGGGAGGGAGAGGGACGGAAAAGGGAGGGGGAAGATCGTGCAATTGCTACTCCTTCTCCAGCTTATGCAGCATAGAGTTCACCTGGTAAGGTGAACACGTGGAGATGCAGGGAGAAGAGCAAAAGCAGCAAGAACAGCAGTGGATCTGCCAGCAGCCAGGAGCAGCCTCCACCCTTTGAAGGGGAAGGGCGGCAGCAGGAGGTGGGGGAAGGGAAGCAGCATGAGGTGGAAGCAGGGAAGCTCCCCCCTCCCACCTCCTGCTGCTGTCGCTCTCCCACCTCCTGCTGCTGTCGCTCTCCCACCTCCTGCTGCTGTCGCTCTCCCACCTCCTGCTGCTGTCGCTCTCCCACCTCCTGCTGCTGTCGCTCTCCCACCTCCTGCTGCTGTCGCTCTCCCACCTCCTGCTGCTGTCGCTCTCCCACCTCCTGCTGCTGTCGCTCTCCCACCTCCTGCTGCTGTCGCTCTCCCACCTCCTGCTGCTGTCGCTCTCCCACCTCCTGCTGCCACCCCCCTCCCAGCACCTGCTGCTGCCCTTCCCTCGCAGGGAGTGGAGACTGCTCCTGCCTACTGGCCAATTGTTCCACTGCTGTCCTTGTTGCTTTTTCCCTTCTCCCTCCAAGGAGAGATGGTGCCAATGCCACACTGATGCACATGTATGAATGCATGTATGCACACACACGCACACACCCGCAACCTCCCACCTCCCCCCATCCGCTTTGAAAAAGCATTACAATTACATGGGAAAATGGAAACATCGCAGCAGCGAACGAATGTAAAGACTAAGTGGAAACACCAGGTGGGAGATTTACCTTGGAGATGAGTGCGTCAGACACGTCAGAAGCAGCAGACTCGCTGGCCTCTTTCTCACTGGCCTCCCTCGCCGCTGCATACGCCACCCTCAGCTCCTCCGCGCCCTCTGTGCCATGCCGCTGCACCATGCTGTTGTACAGCTCGATCTGCGGCAGGGAGGAGTGGCAGATGGGGTTGGGGAGAGGACGAAGGAACAATGGTTGGTGGGCAAGGGAGACCTGGAAGGAGTCCCTCCGCGCCCTCTGTGCCGTGCCGCTGCACCATGCTGTTGTGCAGCTCAATCTGCCGCAGGGAGTTGAGCGGGAGAAAGGGTAAGGGAGCAGATGATGGGAAAGAATGGTTGTGGGGGGCCCAGGGGAGGCCTCAACACCATGCTGTTGTATAGCTCAATCTGGGATGAGGGGAGAGTGGCAAGCAAGATTGAGGAGAGAAATGATGGGGAGAAAAGGCTCTTGGCTCAGCGGAGCCCTTATAAAGCTCCATAAGTGGGAGAATTTCTAGGAATCTATCTGTGCTGTGCTGCCGTGCTCTGATGCTGTCAAGGAAAACAGTCTGCGGGCCAGGGAGATGGGGAAGCGAGAGGTGGTGTGGAGGGGAGAACCCTTTGGTGAAACATAAACTTAACGCTTGCTCACAAGAATACTGGTAGCCTAGCAACCCCCACATGCACGGCCGCACATGCCCCTCATCCATCCCCCAGCCCGCTCCCCACCTTGCCCTTCCTTTCTTTCCCACCACCACTATCACCCCCACCCACATTCTACCACAGCCACACCCAGTGCTCACCCCTTGTAATTGATGCTTCAGCCCTGCGTACATGGCATTCCCCTCACCTCTTTGTTCACAAGGCGCAGGAAGTCAGCTCGCTCCTTGGCCACCGACTGCACAAAGGGACGGATTGCATGGGGGACAGGGGCGGTGAGGAACGTGGGGGAGGGAGAAAAGGGGGGGGATGGGTGGAAGAGTGGTAAGTGAAGGATAGAAGTGAGGGCTTGGGACGCGCACGAGGGATGGAAAAGCATGAGAGACGGAGGAGCAACAGGAAAGAGAAGGCATGAACGAAAGGCACAAGATTTGTAAGGGGAATGGGGAACGAATGAAGCCAAAGTTGCACAGACCAGACCAGCCTCATCCTTCCTTCCTCAAAGGGCCCCCCTTCCCCCCATTAACCACCTCCACGGTCCACCTTCATCTCTCCCCCCCTTTCCTTCCTCTCCCATCCTCTCCCCTTCCTCTCCCCTCCCTCCCCTTTCCTCCCATCTCGTCCCCTCGCCTCTCCTCTCAACCCACACCTCCGCCCTCCCCATCGTCTGCACGCACCGAGCTGGAGGCGAGCACAGCGAGAGCAGCGCTGAGGTCGCACAGCTGGTCCTTCTTCGCCAGGGCCTTGCGCTCTGCCAGTGCACGCGCCTCCTCACCCTCCACCGCAGCCCCCTCCACTGCCGCTCCCCCTGCTCCCGCTCCCACCACACCAGCACCAGGCGCTGCAGCAGCAGTAGCGCCAGCAGCAGGGGCGGTGCTGGTGGCGGCGGCTGCTGAGGTGGGAAGGGCCTCGCGCATCTCCTCTCTTGCGAGGTCTCGCCCTCCTGTTAGCTGCAGGCGTGCTGCCTCCTGTGCCTCCTCCTGCTTGCAGGAAAACAGGGGGAAGGAGAGGGCGAAGCGTGGAATGCGCGAGAGATGAAGGAAAGAGCGGGGTGGGGATCATGGGGGTTGGTGCAAGGAGGGACGGGCGGGTTGGGATAGGCAAAACCAGATAGGGAAAGCTGTGGGAGAGGAATGACAAGGGAATGGTTCAAACAGCTGGAGAATGACAGAAAAAGGGAGAGGGAGTATGATGCAGGCAAACGCTAAGCAAACCAGTGATGATCGATGAACAATGGACAAGAGGGTGAAAATTGATGATGCAGATGCCACCTGCTTCAATCCCTTTAGCTGGCACAACAGATTTTTTCTCCTACTATTTTAGTGGGACGTCATCCTAAAAATTCCCCTACCCATCTCCACCCTGCCCTCCCTCGTGCCCAACTTCCCCCCACCCCGTCCCGCCCCCTTACACCCTCCCCCTCAACTCGCTGAGCGTGTCTCACCTCGATGAGCCGCTCCTGCTCCTTGATGAGCTTGAGCTTGAGCAAACGCGCAGACGTCTCTGCCTCGTCGTCGCTGGGCACGGTGGCGCCCACTGACCGCACCACCTCCGCTGGCAGAGAGGAGAGCGTCGCCTGCACTGCCTCCTCCGGCCGCTTGCTGCCCACCAGGAACGCCCTGCGGGCGGGGAGGAGGGTGGCGGAGGTGGGGAGACGGGAAAAAAGTGGACAAGAAAACGTTGGGGGAGGGGGGGAGGGGGGGGAGAATGGTGGGAGGGAGGGGAGCGGGGTGGTAGAGGAGAGGGGTGATGGACACGCGGGGTACAAGTATTTTGCCGCCCAGAAATGGCATGCAGTGCCTCCTGCGGCTGCTAGCTCCCCACCAGGAAGGCCTGAGGGGAGGGAACTTGACTTGAGTGACAGAAGAGAGAGAGGTTGAAGGAGAATTGGAAAAGCTACAATGAATGCACAACCACGAACAGGGAGAATTGGAAAAGCTACAATGAATACACAACCACGAACAGGGAGAATTGGAAAAGCTACAATGAATGCACAACCACGAACAGGGAGAATTGGAAAAGCTACAATGAATGCACAACCACGAACAGAACCTTTTAAGGTGAAAAGGTTTAAAACGAAGTAGAGCGGATGCAGGTGCATGGGAGAGCAAGAGACAGGGGTACTGACCTTGAGAGGATGAGAAGGGAGGACGGTACAGAGCGGTTGAGAGCCAGGTCCAGCCAATCCCGCAGCTGTAGGGTTCACACGTGGGAGATCGTGGCAACACATACCAATGCGTGGGCGCACATGCCAACACAGACAAGAAACGTACGGATTGGAGACGCGACTAGTAAAAGGTTTGCGAGACACAAGTCAGGACATAACACGAGCAAAACACAAGGCTGAGACACTCTTTACGCGAGCTTAAATCGATGCTCGAGTCATCTCATCTCCACAGTGGAATAAATCATATCCTGCGTACAAGAGAGCCCCGCACCTGCTTCCTCATATCGTCCACAGAGCGCAGCCCCAGCATGCCCCTCTCCCTGCACGCCGCCCTGAGCTCCGCCTCCGATAGTGACTCCACGCCCTCGCTCTGAATCATCTTGTCGTCCTCCTTGATCCTGCTCGTACGCGTGCGCGCGCGCACACACACACACACACACACACACACACAGGGAGGTGCGCACGGTTGCCACGAGTCGGCAGTCAGATGATGGGGAAAGAGAGATGATGAGAGGGGAATCAGAGCATGGATGGGAAGGAAGGGGAGGGAGAGGGAAAGTGGAGAAATTGGGGACGGGTAGAGTTGGGGGGGATGGGGGAGGAGATGGCAGCATTCGCTCGCAATGGGAGAGAAACGACAAGCACGGTGCAAAATGGGGGCAATCCGATACAAGTTGTCATGTACACAAGAACAGCGGGAAGGCACAGGGGCCTGCCAGTTGCTAACAGTTCGCAGCCGCACAAAGCATAAGCAAAGGATAGATGGCAACAACTCACCAGGCGAGCTTAGCGCGCAGGATGTAGCGCAAATAAGCGTCTGTGCCGAACGTCTGTAGGCCCATGTACTTGCACATGCTCACCAAACGGGGCCTGGGTAGGTGCAGGTGAGTGTGTCCACACAGAGAAAGAGGGGGTGGGAGTGAGGAAGGAGAAGGGGACGAGCAGGATCACAGTGGTAGGAGAGGTGAAGCAGACGGCAAAGAAAATTTGAAATGAATGGTGATGTCATTAGTGATGTCTGAGGTCACAATAATGGACATGGTGAATGGCCAAGAACTGCTTGCATTGCACTAGGCAGACAAATCAATCACAAGCTGACGATCATCGGTGATCAGAAATTCGCTGGCAGATATTACAGTTGAGAGCAACGCACGCACGTGAACTTGTTACTATGCAACACGAGCACCTACCTGGACATGTTATCGAGTGTGAGCTCATCATTGAAGAGCGACGCAAAGGCAACGATCTCCTCGTTTGACACGTGCCCTCCTGTGTTCACCTGCTCGCACCACCAATCACCCACCAGCAGACACCGGCATGATCGCGCAAAGGAAAGGCTTGATCAACACGTGGTTCTACTCTCGCCTGTTCTCTGGTTTGGCGCAATGGAGACATAACAAGTTCAGAGTGTTTGTTTGCTAGATTTAGCCTTTTCCTGTACCCCTCTCCTTTGGATCGCGCCTGTAAGTAGCGAGCCATTGAACCCTCCATCCCATCTCCACAGACAACCTCATCCCTCCCGACAACCCCTGATCTCTCGCAGTCCCCTTCCTCTCCCTCCCCTCCCTTCCTCCCGCCCACACACACAATCTTCCAACCCCGCCCACACCCTCTCCCCAAACCCTCCGCCCCAAGACCCCGGCCCCCTGGCCTGCAACCCCCCCCTTCCCCCACCCGGCCCCCCGGCCCCCCGCCCACGCGCGCACCTTCTTCATGAACTTCTGCAGCTCCTCCGCCGTGCGCTTGACCTCGCCGGAGCGGCGGCTCTTGACCTCCTTGGCCATCTCGCCCACCGTGCCCTGCAGGAACCGCGCCATCTCCAGCCGCGCCTGCAGCCGCCGCTTCAGCTTCTCCTGCTCGCGCGCACATTGGCGCAGGTGGAGATTCGGAGGAGAAGGCGGAGAAGGCGGAAGAGCGGGAAGGGGGGGAAAGAGGTGCGGGGGGGGTGTGTTGGGTAGGGGGGAAGAAGGGGGGGGTGGTGGGGGGGGGGGGGGGGGGGTGTGTGGGGGGTACGTAACGGGACACAGACAATAAATTTCGGTTTCCACAAAGACCGTGACTTATCAGATTTTGCTGAAGAAAGGAAAGGCAACTAACGAGTAGGAGGAGCAAGAACGAATGCGCGAGGAGGGCAAAAAAGAGAAAGGGATTCGAGATTGGGCGAGTGAGCGAGGGGCTCGGGAGGAAAGGGTGGAGAGAAGAGTCGAAGCGAGAGAAGGGGGAAGGGGGGGGAAGGGGAGGGAGGAAAAGAGGGGACGAGCGAAGTTAAAAATCCGGTGAAATTCGACAGACATTTTTAACTATCAGTTATCAACATGCTGCACGCAGTACCAACTAAGTTTCCTATCAGTTATTTCACCTCTTCCTTGTTCTTGTCTTGGAAAGTCGACGGCAGCATGTTGGGGAAGAGCCTTAGCGCCAGCGGAAGCAGGAACTCCAGGAACGGCACGATCACAAACACGGCGAACGGCACGAGCCTGAAGATATCCGCCGACGTGCGAGTCAGCTGCTGCCTCTCCCTCCTCGTCAGCGCTTTCCCGTTCGCCGCTTTCAGCATGAGACGCGAGCTGATCCTGACATCAGCCCACAGGAGCTTGGATCCCACCCAGTAATGGTGCGCGCCGTGCTTGATCGCCTTCCACCACCCCTTGAACATGCCGGACCAATCCGCGGCTGACATGCGAGCCACGGACGAGATGCCACGTGGCACGGCCAGCAGCAGCTGCCACGTGCGCGAGAGCACGGCGAGCACGAGGAGCAGGGACGCGCGGACGACCCCGCGGCCCTTGCTGACGGCTTCTCTCGTCGCTCTCACGCGCGCGCGCACCTCTCCGAGGTCCTCCACCGCCTCGTCGCACTCCTCCGCTAGCTCCTCGCCCGCCATCCGCGCTGCGCGATCCCCGCCGGTGGCACCTCCGGAAGGACCGTGCGATCCCGAGCCTGCAGGAGCAGATTGCGCTGGTGTTGCAGCTGAAACCCCTGATCCTCGTCCCCCAGAATCGGTTGAAAAGCCTGCTGCTGCAGATGCGGTGGTGGTTGATGCTCCGGACTCCGCTCGCACGGAACTAGCGGGACCGCCATGTCCGGGCGATGCTGATGTTGATCGCGGAGACGTGGATACGTGGCGTCTTGAGCGAGAAGAGCTTCCAGTGACCGTGCTGTGCGGAATGGCCGCGCCTGACGAGAATAAATCCCCAGATGACCAGGTCAGAGCACCTCCTCGTGCTGGAATCCCGGCGGCGTGATCGCCTGATTGATACTGATCTCTGATTGACTGATACTCTAGGGCTGTCCGGCTGCGTCTACGTATCCCGGAGGAGTGATCGCGGGAGGTTGCAGGAGTAAGAATGGCAGCCGCCGATGCGGGAAGCAGCGACCTTTGACCAGACGGTGCACCACCCTGATCTCCTAAAAGACTAGGAGTTCTGCAGCCCCTGAAACCCGACGATTTGGCTGCTCCACGCGACTGATGCATTTCTGGCAAGAAATGATTGTACAAGGTACCATGATCAGGCAGTGGCTTTGCTTCGTCATAGGCAAAACTCCCAGGTGTCGGAACTGTCGGCTCCAAAGCGTGCTGCTGGGCAATGACATTAGATTCCAAAGAATGAGATTCATCCTTCAATGAATGTGTCGATGCAGTCGAGATTGGATGACAGCTTTCAGTAGACCTAGCAGGCGTGCTCTGCAAGGATTCTAGCGCTTTCGACAACGGAGCCGCTGATAGGCGACGAGAAGCTGAGCGCCTGGCAGCTGCGAGATGCTTGAGACCCTGACGCGTAGCCATGGCTGCCTGGCGCTTGACGTTGCAAGCTCACGTAATTATCTGACGTCTGGGTTAAGCTACATGAGGGTAATCATGTAGATGCTTAAAATGAAGGAGTATGCAACCGTCCGTCGGTGTGCTACGCGGATCAGAATCACCGAGTGGCTATTGAGGTGCTTCGACAATGTCGCAAGAAACGATCCTGCAGCAGAACGCGGATGGGAGGCGAGGTTGAAACGCGTGGGTGAAAATCTGTGCTCCGCTTCTCCTGCGTCTGAAGGGTGAAATACAAATAATCGGCGTGGATCTTGAGTTTATTCAGTAGCTTATTAGATACACGTAGCATCAGTAGCTTCAGCGTCTAGATCTACCCACGCAAGCTTCAGAAGAGCGAAGGTTGGATGCAAACAGGTCAGGGATAGCATCCATGTGGTACCAAGTAGTAATATTGCTGTAGACAGACAATTGAAAGATGCCTGAAGACTTCTGTTCAATGAAAGATTCGGGTTGACTAGGAGGGACTCCCCAAGCAAACTGGAGAATACGATGCGGTGTGGTATATTTTGTAATCTTTAACCTGTGGTTTAGAGTGGTGCAGTAGGTTTGAGGTTATGCGAAGGAGGTGGCACCTGGTTTGGGTTTGGGGAGGCAGCGGCGCGCTCTGTGTAATCCAGACGAATCTCGAGGTGGCGTGTGCCCTTGGAGAAGCATGCCTTCATGATTTCACGGGACACGAATCACGAGAACGTACAATTGCTTCCACACTTTGGTTCGCGTGAATTTTGGGCAACTTTGGTTGAAGTCAGAGGTTGCCTGATTTTCTGGGTCGTTTAGGCAGCCTGTGATCTGTGGCCAGGTGGACGAGGAGGAGAAATAAGATTTCACATATTGCCACGGTGGATTTCCGTGTCACACATTTGAAGGACGTGGATCCACAAATGTGGGAAAGTGTGAGCAGCCCAAAGTCGTTGAACCTGAAAATCTTCCTATTGGCGGCCACACTTAGGGCGTGTTAAATCGCCACACAATTCCGAAAATGGGGTGTGGCCGAATTTTTTACGACCAAATGGTCGTCATATTTTTCGCGAACAACGACGAGGTGGCCGAATCAGAGTCGACTCTTGAACAGCCAAAATTAACAGTTTTGGCAATTTAACAACTTTGGTGGCCGAATTGCAGGCTGGTTCGGAAAAGTTGTTAAATTTGCAGTTACTACAGTAGTTTAGTATGTGCGACGGGGTCGCACTTTTGACGGCGATTCTTCATATTTGACGCGATCACAAATTTGGTCGCTGGACGAATCCATGCGACGTCGCAGTCGTTCGTCGCATACTGTGTCGACTACTTGGCCGCTTTGGAGTCGACTCAGCGTCGTTTTCGTGTCGACCTTTTAAACGGCCATCAAATTCGTTATTTTTTTTACGAAATTTGCGACTGTCGCCACTGGAATTACGATTGTCGCGAACTGGTTACCTTCGCAAAAACGGCCCGACGGATTGTGGCCGAATTTTTGGAGTTTGCGATTTAAAACGCCCTTAGCACATTCAATAAATGAAGTATTTATGTTGAAGTAATACAAAGTTACTCTAGGTAAGTTTTCATTCACGTACCGTGTTGGTAACACTGAACTAAACTAAAAAAATACAACAATTTGAGCTAATTGGTGGTGTGTTAAAAAATGTTCGTAACTTTCTTATGTGCAATAAGGTGCTTCCTACGGGGTGCAAAAATATATTAGTGCCACTTTTTCTAGTTGTATCGGGTAGGAGGAGATGTATGGTATGCCTAATACGGTATCCAGGCTATGACCGTAACACACACCTTCCGCACAATGGGCTGGGCTCATCTCATGGACCACACGCTTTCTTAGGGCAGAGTGTGTCAAATGTTGTAGCCTGTAGTGAGGCTTGTCTTAGGGGGTACACATGTTAGGGTTTGCTATATGTACCCCAACCCACATCAATGAACCAATACTTTCATTCTTGACATAGTATCATATAGGTTAGGATCCTGTGGGATCCCGCACCTCTCGTCCTCGTTCGTTCCGCCCGAGCCTGTTTCGCTCTCTCGAACTAGTCGTACACATCTTGCCCGAGCCTAGCGCCGGCCCGATCCAGTCTCGCTCGTTCGTTAGCGCCCACTCCGTCGACCCGCTTTCTGCGTAGCGTAGCGCCTTCCCCTCCTGCCCGTCGCGTCGCGCTCACCCCGGCTTCCCGTCCCGTCACGCCCTCCCCCGCTGCTCGTCGCGACGTGCCCACCCACCTTGCCCGTCGCCTCGCGTCCTCCCCCCGCTGCCCTAAACGCCCACTCGTCGTCGCCGCGGCGCCCCGCATTTCGTCGCCGCGCCTGCCCGTACCGCATGCCGCCACGCCTACTCGTTAGGCGCGATCGCGGGCCCGCTCGTCCTGTCGCCGCGTGCTAGTTAGGCACGCCGCGGGCCCTCCCTTACAGCCGCCGCGGGCCCTCCCTTACAGCCGCAGCACCTGCCCGTACCGCCCGCCGCCGCGCTTGCTCGTTAGGCACGCCGCGGGTCCTCCCTTAAAGTCGCCGTGGGCCCTCCCTTACAGCAGCCGAGCCTGCCAGTTCAGCCAGCCGCCGTGCCTCTTCGTTAGGTCCGCTACGGACCCGCTCGTTAGGCCCTTCCTTCGCACCGCTGCGCCTACTCGCTCAGTCCGCCGCGGGACCACCCCTAGCCCCGTTGCGCCCGCGTTTTGCGCCCGTCACGGACTTGCCCTAGCCGCCCACCGTCCCTACCGGTGCCACCCACCGCTGGACTTGTTGCTTCTACTTACACTATGGTGACCCCTAGGGTTCTTCGATTTGATGCTGGCTGTAGACCGCTTGTTTTTCCGGTCTGGCTCCTACGCGCGCGTCGCCTTTTAGAGAGTCAGGTTCAGGTGGGAGAGTCCCTTTGGCCGCACGCTACCGGTGACCTTCACGCGCCCGACGACCCTACGCCTTTAAGCACCGCCCCTGACGACGCAGCCAGGGACCGCCTCACCCACCAGCGTGCTGACCTGACGGCGTGGAAGTCGCGTGACGCTGCGGCCTGCATCGCTCTTAGCAGCCTCCTCCCTGAGTCTGAGGAGGCCCACTTCACTCAGGTTCGCACTGCTAGTGAGTTCCTGACTGCGATTAAGGCCCGCTACGCTACTCCCACCACTGTCTCTCTTGGTCGACTCTTCCTACCGTTCCTGTTCCCTGACCTCGCCTCATTTGAGCGCTCTGCTGACTTGATTGCTCACCTCCGCTCGCTTGATTCTAGCTACTGCGCTGCTTGCACTAAGGCACAGCTTGCACTGCTCCCTCCCCCCATGGCGATTACTATCTATTTCATCGCCACTAGCCTCCCTGACCGCCTTGCCTCAGTCCGTGACAGGCTTCTTCTGAAGCACTCCAGTGAGCTCACTATCGAGGTCTTTGAGTCTGTGCTCAAGGACGTCGAGAGCAACCTCCGCTCCGTAGCCTCCGCCTCTGGTGCTGTGCCCCCTCCACTGTTCCACGGGTGCACTGTCCCTCAGCTGCCCACCTTTACTGCCTCTCTCGCCACTGTTGCTACTGACGTAATCGCAGCTGCTATTACGACTTCTTTGCGGTCTCGAAGTAGAGGTGGCAAGAGGGGCGGTCAGGGTACAGGTGGCGGCGGCGGTGGAGGCGTTGGCTGCGGAGGTGGCGGGGGTGGCGTGCCGATTGGTGGCGGCGGGAGTGCAGGGCCTGGAGAGGCGTCTCGTGCAGCGGCCAGTGACTCCGCTATTGCAGCTGGTGGAGGCGAAGCCCGGACTCGTCAGCCACCTTCTGGTCTGCCGGCCGCGGCGGGTGGAGCGTCGGCGTGGTACCAGGCTCAGAGGCAGCAGCAGCCCCTCCTCTCGCAGCAGCCCCCGCAGCAGCAGCGGCAGCAGCAGGTTTCGGGGCTCGGACTGCGTCAGCCCCAGCGAGGCGTGGTTCACCCTTCGTGCACCTATCAGGTTTTGACAGGTGCTCGCCGAGGCCACCCTTGTGGCCGCACCCACCCTCCTGGTCAGTGCTTTGCTCAGCTCACTGACACGGTTCGCTTGGCCTACGGGGTTGGAGGCCCTGCCCCTGACTGGTTTCCCCTTGTTCAGACGTACGACTCTGCCGTTTGGGGCATGTCAGCTTCTCAGTTGCTTGATCTCTTAGGAACTCCTCATGCTATGTATGCTGCTTTTGACTCTGTTTACTCAAATGTTGCTAGCTTAGGTGCTTGTCTTGCTGAGTTGCCTCTTGCTAGTGTAGGCACTTGTGTAGACACTAGTCCATGAGCTCGTTCGGAGGACGCTTCGCTGTCTTTCACTTTGGACTCTGGGGCTTCGCACTGCTTCTTCAGGGGCCACACGACACTTACTCCGCTTCCTGCGCCAGTCTCTGTGGCACTGGCTGATCCCACCTCGGGACCAGTCACTGCTCGCTACACTACTACTCTTCCGTGCCCTGCTGTTCCCTCTGGGTCTCTGACCGGCTTCCACGTCCCCTCGTTCTCGAGGAACTTGGTGGGCGTGAGGCCTCTTGTGAGTCAGCACGTGGGTGTGTGGATTGAGCCCTCTGGTGAGACGGCGGTTTGTGTTGACAGAGACACTTACGCGCCTCTTGCCACCTTTACAGCGGAGCCGGGCTCTGGCCTCTTCACACCTCACACTAACCCTGGTGCGCAGTCTCAGTAGCAGCTGCAGCAGCAGCAGCAGCAGCAGCAGCAGCAACAGCAGCGGCAGCAGCAGCAGCAGCAGCAGCGGCGGCGCCTACTGCCCCCGACCCCTGTTCCTTCCCCCAGTCTGGTCCCTGCGTCTCACCAGGTTGCCGCGTCCCCCCAGGTAGCTGTGTCTGGTCAGGCTCTAGCGTCAGATCCAGTTGCTACGTCGTGCTCCTGCCGGTCGCTTGCCCACCCCACCGTTCTGTGGCACCACCGGATGGGGCACCCGTCCCTACCTCGTTTGCGTGCTATGTCTCGTCGGCGTCTTGTTTTAGACCTCCCGCGTGTCTTGCCGTCGCTGCCACCTTCTTTAGCA